GACTGATTGTCTCCTCAGCTTAATCCCTCACGTTTCCCTGGCTGCTTTACCCCCAAGAGGGAGGAGAGGAAAGAGAAAGGAGACAGAATTACTGAGCAGGTCTGGTCTAACCTGTACCCATAGGGAGCTTATGTTTTGTTTCTTCTCCATGGCATCTGTCTCAGCTAGTTGCCATCTAATGTGACAAGGCACACTGCTTTTAATTAGAATGGGTTGAGGTGCTTCATTTGAATATAAATGAACCAATAATTAGGAATATTTCTCTTCAGGGTGCCCACATTCACAGCAGGATGGGTTTCATTCCCACATCTTGAGGCGCCATCTCGAATTCATGGAAGGCAAACAAGCAGTTACCGTTTGCACTGTTTGCAGTGGTGAAAAGTAATCTAGGTAAGAACAGGAATGATGCATGTATGTAACCCAGTGCAATTCTGTCTCACTGATATCAGCCTCAACAGGTATATCAGAGCCGTTTTAAGTCACCACTAATACAAAACAATCAACCCACTGCTGCTGCGTCACATTAAAAGCATCTAATTGGCAAAACACCAGGTGGCTTTTATTGTGAAGCAAAACAAGACAATTGTCATTTCAGCATTTTTCCTAATTTGTGTTGTCAAAGTATGGCCAGTAAATCAGCGCCATCTGCCACCTAACAAGGGTTATAAGAAGCATTTTTTGAACCACGAGCATGAAGGACCTCACATCAGCTAAAAGTCTGAACCAACGCTAGGTTTAGACTGGAGGCTACATTTTATAGTTTTTTTGTGACCAGGCATCCACAGTTTACATCATCACAAGGAAAAAGGACATGATAGGAGGCATAAAGAGTGCTGGAGTGGCTGATGATGTTGGTTTGTTTGACAGTAAGATATCACAGGGAAAACAAACCTCTGCATTTCTTCTAAACCCATCAATGTTCATGTGCACAGGTGTCTATGACCCACTAGTGAGTCCACTAGGATGTCTGTCATGCTTCATTAACCCACTTCACCACCAACTATAGTACGTAGATGTCGGCCACAGCCAAATGATTTAGCTCTGAACTTAGCAGGAGAGAGACGCTGCACTCTCACCTTCTCAGCACTTCGCTGGCAGAGAAGTTCCTCTGGTACTGTTCTCTTAAAATGTCAGTGCCTTTCATTAAAACCCAGAGCCAACAAGGCCGCTACGGTTTTTAATTAGTGCATGTTTAAAGCCTGTTTTCCTTTTTCAAAGGAAGTGGCAGAAGGATACAAAGGGCACAGTAACAGTGAACAGCTGCATATTAACAGAGTTAGAAAGCTGATTAATATGCAGACTAATGAGATCACTGCTACAGGCACACAGAATCTCTCTGTAGTGTCCATACATTTCTGAGAGGACAAACACTTCTTTATGTAGATGCACTGTAAATAAATTTGTCTCTGTCAAAGGAAGGATAGTGTAAGATGCAGGGCAGAGGGAACGTCAAATCCCAAACCCCATGTAGTTTATGTAGTTCAAAAAAATCTCTTAGGACAGATAGCACAAGTGCTGCACATTTCTTCAGTCAACCACATTGCTCACAGGATAAGGAGAAATAAAAGAGTGGCTCTGTAAAGAGTGTATCTGATGCATAAGACATTCAGGATGCAACAACACACAAGACCGAAGAGAAGGCTGCTCCCGGTCAGACTTGAATAAACCCCAACAACAATGGACAAATACATTTTCAGCAGCTTTGGCCTACTCATTTATCAGCACAGTAAACATCTTGCAAGTTCAGACTTTGTTAACTTATATGGATGATAATGCAACTCTACTATCTCTACTATAATTTATTTCCCTCTCTGCCTTTCCAACTAAAATTTTTCGACCTGCCAAAATAAAACCCAGCGCAGCTATATTTCAGTTGTCAGGAAATTCTGAAAACGAACACTAACACTTCTTTAGCAGCTTAAATATTTACTTTTGTCTGAAGAGTGGGGAGACAGGAAAGGTAAGATAAAGAGCAGAGCAGAGAGAGGTTGACAGAGCAGGTGTGAGCTGAATAAATGTACTGTAGAAGGAGCTGCTGTAGAGTCTAAGTGGTATGTATTAAAATCATGTTGGCTGTGTGTGTGTGAGACATTTGCAGGCTACCTGTATTATAGACTGAGAACCCAAGCTGAATCTCTTTAGTTCATCAAACAAAACAAGGAATATGATGCCGTCATGCTGCACTCTGGGAAAGTATGATGGATATTTTTCACTATTTTTTGACATTTCATAGACTCAATAATAAAATGATTAACTGAAAAAAATACTCTGCCAATTAGCTGATAATGAGAATGAAAGTTCAAATGTTCAGAGGACAGATGTCAAACTGTCCTGAAGACTGACCTGTTGAGGCGGTGGCACCAGCTGCAGTTGAAGTTGATCTGTGAGGAGATGCAGGCACTGCAGCTGGTGAACTGGAGGCAGGCTAGAGAGGAGAAAGGCCATAACAGGTCAAATCTCAATTTCTACAGTCAATAGCCTTACTGAAAAGCCAAGAAAAAGGTCCACAGACCAATGATAATCCTTCCAACATTTGTCCAGAGGCCTATGCTGACTGAGACAAAAACACAATAAATAGTAGTAAATATGATCTCCTTACTGGGTAAAGGTGTAATTTCCACAGCTGTAGAATTGGTGATCTTTGTTTTCGTCAGCTCAACGCGGTGGTACTCGTAGATTGTCCTCCGCCTCACATCTGTATTTGAGACAGTAAAAGACAGAGTGAAAGAATGAACAAACAATCACAAATCTTCCATCCAGAGATAAAAACTAAGACAAGTGGTCCCTGGAGAAAGATGAAACACAGCGATAGGCAGAATCAGGTCATAGGGGATGCTATTCTCTTTTTGTTGTAGCCTACGACCATGGCAGTGGACAGTAGCAATTTCCCCTGGGAGCTGATATCAATCAGACCCTGTTGAAAGGCTGCCCTCCCACTCATCTGTAGCAGCAAGTCATCAGCTGGGTAAGATGGAATGATTAATTAGACACATCATTGACTCTCATCGCAATCTGGCCCTTCTAACTCGGTTGGGCCTGTGTAAAGTGGGCTGTTTTGCTGGCCATGCATCTTCACTACCATCAGTGGAAAAGCAAAACATGAGGATGAACAGATTGAATAATAACTCTTGGTGCTGATAATATAATGGCTGTTTTAAATCCTAATTGGATTTTTTTGTGACTTACTATGCATGCATTCCAGGAATGAAACAATAAGCCTGCAGAATGAATCGCTGAGATGAAGTTGGTATATCAAGACTTTGCTCAGTATAGTGGATGACATTTCTTACAGCCCTTGTATTTACGTGACAATTCAGGTAAAAAAATGGAAATTCATTCAGCATAAGTCATTTCCATTTTTAAAGTTAAAGGAGAATCTTAACATAATGGGAAAGATGAGAGGGTAGATATGACATCTGTTAATGATGAGAAGATTAGTTTAGCTTAGCATCAAGACTGGAAGCAGAAAGTAACATCTATAGCCTGGGTTTGTTTCAGTATAACACAACCAACCAGGCAGCACCTCTTACAAGTTATATTATTTAATCTACACAAAAACTAAAGTGTAAAAATGACACGTTTCAGTGTTACTGGGGATTTTGCTGGAGTAAACAAAGCTACAGTAAGTAGCAACTTGCTGTAGCCGCCTATTTAGTAAACTTATACAAGAGTGGTATCAGTCTTCATCTATCCTGGGCAAAAAAAGATATGCATGTCTTCCAACATGTCAAGCTACTCCTTTAACACCACTCAAGGTTACTGCTTTGCATGGTTGATTGATTTTTGGTTTGGGAATTTGGCTCTGCTGATGTTCCTCTCATGTGATAGGGTGTTGTTTTCCCAATACACACTGGACAACTGATCAAAGCAGCAAATATGAGCCTGCTCGCTCTAATCTGAGAATAAGACCACCCTTACTTTCCCCCTCTCTCCTCCCCTGGTGGGTGACTTCCTCTTGCCTCTTGCAAAGGGATTATCAGGTGCCTAATGACATGGTGGGGGCCAGAGGAAGGTCAGTTCTCTAGCCTGAGGTCTGCTGATGTGTGGGCAGAGTGTACAGCCTCGGTGGCCTCTGGTTTGTAGGTGGAAGGAAGCTGCAAATCAGATCAATTATAGTCCAGTCTCAGCCCCAACACAAACATAGTCTAATGAGGATTTAGATACTATCAAAAGAAGGGCGATTTTACAAACGTGCACCATTAGTTATGAGCAAGATGGTCATCTATCCCGTGTTCGAATTAAAATCTCACTCACAGAAGATCCAATATTCTTCGATTCAACAATAAATTACATATTTTCATGGATACAACCACAACAGCAGGCAGCCCCTTATTGCTTATTCATTTGTATCAAAGGACTGGCTGAAAATCAATGTTGAGACACTGTGCTGAAAACAGATTGTGAAGTAACAGCAGACTCACACTCCCCTCTCATCAGACAGCATTCTGGATATTTACACTATTACCCAAATGAACTGTATGGAACCTTAATTCCCAAAGCCTAATGATAAAAACACAGAATGATAGCCTTAAACTGTGTATAATTAACAGCTCCAGTCTTGGAATCTTTCTGCTGAGAACCAACATTTTTAATCCAGGATCAGCCAAGAAGATATGAAAAGGGCACATGTGGCTTTGGCTTCATTTTAAGTATGACTCACTGTAGCTGATAATGTATAATCTGGCCTGGGGAATGTATATTAAAACCTGGGTCTGCTTGTACCTGACCTGTTAATTATACACCCTGGCCACCAATTTTCTTTTTCATCTGTCTTTACTGCACAGGCTGTGGGCCTGCATCGCCCATAGGCAGCACAAAATTCCTTTATTTGAGCTTGGGTGAAGCTGTGGGGCTAAAAAAATGTCCCTCTGATCGCTGTGGTTGCTGTGCAGTAATTGGCTACAGAGACGCTTAACAGAGCTGAATCATTTCATGGTAAAGTGTGAAGCCGCAGAGGCTCCCTTCTGTTTTTTTCCTCTGGTAAAATTAAGTTTTCATAAGCTTTAACGGCTATTGAAAATTTTACTGGCATGATGGAATTAAAAAGCTGTCAGTATTTTTCTTTCACCCTCAAGGTCACCTTTAAATTAGATCTGAAGCAAATCAAGACAGAATCAAAGCAGAATCTTAATGTTTTCAGATAATATTTCTCCACAAGATTTATCCTCTCCCCAGCATCTTTTCCAACATATGTTGCCACTAAATGTAGATCTACTAACCTGAGGTCACACATTAACTGTAACCATCCTTCAAACTTTACTTTTTATGGAGAAAGTCAGAACTCCTCTGAATTACAGTAGCTACTATGCGATCCTGCTTTTTCATGAAAAGAGCTGATTCTGGCTTTTTCTAAAGGTTAGTCCCTATCCATCTATAAATAATGCCCCAGTTAACAGCCCTCCTCTGTTATTTGCACCAGCATGACGACAATCATGATCTTACTTGCAGCATCCTTTCCTTTCTCCAGAGACTCTTGTTATTCATGTGGCACATCAGGCCCTTTGGATCCACAGGTGCACGATGCAAATACTGCCCTTTTGCTTCAGATGCGGACATGGGTCTGTGCACTTTGCAAATATCACTTGTTTGTTGACAGCAAAAACAAAACCTTGTTTGTTTCAGCTGTTGCGAGAGCCTGATATTGTTTAAATGACGGAAGTCATCCTTTACAGTTGGCTGTTACCTAAAGGGGTTTGTCCATTATAGGAACCTACCGAAACGTGTTGAGCTGTCACTAGTTGTGCATTTGTTCCCACTGTCCTCTGCCCGCTTTGGAGCTGCATTCTGGGAGCTAAATTTCTGCACCCTTCAGGAGGTAGTACAAAGATCAAGTTCCAGGAATGTGGGGGGGTGCACACAGAGCAATCACCTGTGATTGGTTAAATGTCCAAACCTTCACACCTCAATCATTGGCATTACAAACATGTCATCCTGTGATAGGCTGTCCAGGGTAGACCCTGCCTCTCGCTCAGTGTCAGTTGGGATTGGCTCCTCCGTGATACTCTTCAGGATAAGTGGCATAGATAATGGATGGGTGGATGGACACGTGTCTTCTGCTTCCTCTGTTCAGCTGATGGCCTGTGTGAGAGGAGCACAAACCCTCTCTCCTTTACACGAAGTCGGGCACCGAAAAAATACAGAGGGAAAGCAAAGTAGGATGCTCTGCATCAACCTGGGAGGTTATGTGGGGCAAAGTGTAGGGTATAACGCTCGTTAGGTTCCTATAGTGGAAACACAGCCCACTGTGTTTTTAATGTAGATTTTCAGTTTCTTGAGAAGTAAAATCAGTGATGATCATTTGAGATGGATTATCAGAGCAGAAAAAAAAGTTGTGCCATAAAAATGAGAACACAAACTCTTCCGAAACATTGTTCATTCAGCACCATGGTCTTAGCTTGCTTCCATTCCAGATTTCATCACTCGGTAACCGAGCAGCTGCACGCACTGGTTTCATCATGCTGTGTCATGCATCAAAGACAACTTGGTTTATGAACTCTAGGAGGGCAGAATGACAGCAGCTACAGCCGTCAACCAGAGGTTTGTACAAAAGGCCTTTAGATAAGACAGAAAACAAAGTCAGTGTCAGAAAATCCCGCCACTCCAAGGAGCGAGTGTTTTGGAGAGTTGTTTTACACTTGAGACAAACTCGTAAAAAATAACTCACATATTACATGTAACAAAGATGTCAAGTGAAGGAGGAGAAAGGGCCTAAAATATTAACTTTGACCAATAAATGCTATCCACGTTTCACACATGCAATCAAAACAGCTTTAATTACTGAATAAATCTTACCGGACAACTCATTATTATGTCAGAGCCTGTGAGAGAGAGAGAAGTCTTAAGTGTCTCCCCTTTGCTCAGATGTCTTTAAACTTAATGGGCCTGAAGTTCAGTAACTCAAAAGCAAATGGAAGATGCAAACGTGGGCCTCTGCTCGCAGCTCTGCCCACTGAGGGGTGCAACGGTGTTGAAGCGGTGGAGACAGCTGGAGTTAAACAGATGAGTCTCAGCTCAGAGCCATGAGACACAGTTTAAAAAGTAAATAAACAGAAACGATTCAGATAAATGGCTTGATTATCTTATGATCCTTGGACATTAACATTGTTTTTTAACTGACTGGACACATGAATTTTCTCAAGGATGAAGTGACTAGATTTTGGTGGTCAAAGGTCACTGTGACCTTACATCCATCTTATTCCTGTGAATTTAACTGGATGACGGAGGCAAAGCCGTATTTCTTGTTTGCATTTGGATTAATTCAGCTAGAAATGTGTTCAAAACTCACTGGGTATCTGTTGGATCTTGTGGACCACTACGAAGGCATCGGACAGGCCCACCTTCACCGGGTGATTGACAGAGCTGATCTGTGAGACCTCAATAGGGATCTGAAATAGAGGAGGGGAGAATCAACTATCAGGAACGATTTGTTCGGAAGAGGCTGCAAAATAGAATCAGGACCACAACAGTGACAGTTCTACCAATTTATAGCTACGACCCACAGGAGTCAGCTCAGACAATTAGGAAACTTAATATGGTTGTTTTTGATGCACAGATTAAACATTTCAGACAGACAAAACTAAAATGAAGACCGACTTGTATCTGAGAGAACAGATGAAAACAGGGCATCAGGAGCTAGGTGGACTATTTAAAATAATATAGAGTACATGGTAATCACTTTTGTATAGATAAAACAATAATGAAAACATCATTAGATGTTCATTCAGATGTACAGAAACTAAATCAAAACAATATAATGACACAAAGTAAGAAATACACTGTCTCTTTGAAATGACATACTGAAGAGTAAATATTAAAAACAGCTGGTTGGAAAGATGAGTGCTGACCTCTTTGTATGCAAAGACAATCCTGCCAGTGTTGTGCAGCGTGGCCTGGAAGGTGAAGCTTCCCAGGTTGTAGTTGTCCTGAAGGTGGACATGGTCCCACTGCACCACCAGAGCAGTACCTAAAGAAGAGAGAAACACAATAAAAACACATAAAGCTCATCACCACACAAAGGAATCGGTGAGATTAAAGTAGAATAAAGACGACACTGATAGCTACTGGTTTGCCTTTCAGTGTTGGAGAAATTCCATCTCTACTGTCTCAGATCTAGCGTGAAGTCAGCCACTGACTTGGCAGACTTGAAGAAGAAGACATCAATGTAACAATCATGTTTGTAACGGGATATGTTTTTGAGGGACTGTTTCCTGGCAGAGGGTTCATTTCACTGTCTGGGTGCGAGCTGACTGACGCTGAAGCAGCTCGTATGAAAACACTCCACTGGAGCAGGATGAGACAGCAATAAAACTGAAACTTTTGGCAAAACCAAATCAAGGCACGGTGGTTTCTGTGATGGATTATGTAGCTTGAGTAATTTTCACAACAGTGAATGTTTTTCATACTGTGCAAGAATAAAATGACAGAGCTGTGAAAAACTTTTTCTTATGGTACAGGAAAATGAGAATATTTCCAAAGAGTACCAGTCAAAAATGTGTTCCCACTGAACTGGACCAGAAAGTGTTTCCAGGCCTTTGACGGGTGCTGCACACTGGCCGAGAGCCGTCAGCAGCAAGAATAAAGTGAACCAGAAGGGAAACTCTGACACCAGCTTCAAGAGTTAGTTCGCTCAAATTACCACCAGTTTGAGTGAGTCTTCTTTGTCTAATATTCTGGCTCTCTCATGTATGCAGCTGGGGAGGAAAAAAATTAGAGCTATTTATATGAAGGGTGCCCCCCCCCTCCTCCGAGATAGCAATTTAGACTTATATCAAAACATTGTAGGTTTGTTAACATAACTAATCAAGTTTTCCGTCACACATCTTCCATCCAAAGCAAAGACAAGATCTTGCCTCACTGCTGACACTTTGGAGACCACAGGCGTCCACTTGAAGAGGAAACCCTATAATAAATTACATGTGGTGTGTATAGAGGACCTCTGGCACTGGACTTATGTTTAATACAGTATGTATATTACAGGATGAGGTCAGACTCTGACTTTTTATTGACAGTTGTAATATCATGTGGCTGATATGTATGAGCAAAGTTTTATCATCTTTATGGACTCTCGCTTTTCCCCCAAACGTGCAGATTAGTGCTTTGTTACCCACACAGATGGTAGACTGAAGAACAGCTTGGTGCTTCTTCTGTGTCATGGAGCTCTTTTCTCAAGTAACAAGAACAATGGCTAATTTCAGCAGACCCTCAAATGTGATTATCACAGGACACAGGCCCTGCGAGTGTGTTGTTCCACAGTTACACGTGGGAGATTTCATATCCGTCTTGGAGACACAAATACAGTACCTTATAAATATAAATATATGGTTAGAGTATGTCTCAAACCCCTCCTAAGACTTAAATAAATTTGGATTCCAGTCTCTCTTAAGAGCTGCTTTAATGAGTTTGCATGTAGCTTTACAGAGATCAGACAGTGATCTGACCCAAGAAGTCTACATGGGGTCTGACATAGTATTGAACTTAATGCAGGAGGAGGACATTTTAAGCAGAGCAGCTGACAATGTTGCAAGTGCAGTGGGAGATAAAAACTTGAAATTCTTCAGTAAGTGATGGATTAATAAATGCCTGTCTTGTACTGTGAATGGAAAATACAGCAGAGTTAAAATAAGTATCGTGTCATTCGGCCTGTAAGCTGTATTTTTATCACAGTGCTCTCACAAGATCCCACTGGCAACAACAGCCAAATTCAATCACCAGTTGCTGAAACACCTCACTGCGCTATAATTGTGCATGATCAAGCTTCAGGATGGTTTTAGCATGGTACTTGAGAAAGTGATGTCTTAACCAATCATGTGTATTCTTTATTTAGCAGATTCTAATTAACAAAAAAAAAAAAAAGTCACTGTGAAGTTTCACACAGCTCGCAGCCTCCTGTCTGTGGGACAGGAACAAACTCTGCTGCTGTGAGCTCCTCATCAAAGGAGTTCACAGATGATCCATGACACAACAGACCATGCAGTTCTCATGCTGTATTGATAGGACACTGACTGACGGACAGTGTGCTGGGGAGCAGGCTAGCTGGGAATCGACCGGCTGCCAGTTTAGCTAAAGCCCGATGAGCTCCACTGGAGAAGGTCACACACGACCTTCACCACCACGACGTGGTGGATAAGAACCAGCCGACAAAGGGAAGGTACACACAGCAGCACAGAGCATCAGTGTAGCTCCAAGTGAGCGAGTGGATGTTTGGGGAACTTTACATGTATATCTTTTAATTATGAAGATCTTGTTTATTTTAAATCATCTTAAAATGGCCCATTTAGCTTTAGTCAAAATATATTATGCACCTTAACAATTTTAGTATGCGACTTAATTTCAATGTAACTTTGTAAAATTATACAAACTATTTTGTGTGAAATTGGGGCTGGATGATATGGATGAAAAGCTCTACCACCGTAAATATAATATATTTTTTGTAAAAGCAACAGAATTTTTTTAAATGGATAAACAATGGTTTAACAACAGAAATATCTGCAAAAGACCTACATACATGAAACACTACTTTGTTTTGTTTCTATGTAACACTGCTACCAATCTGTTGTATTTTGTCCCCTATTTTCTGGATCTCATGAATTAGGCTGTGAGTTAGTTTCTAACTGTTTATAGCTGAATAAATGGCTGGGTGAAGCTAAAATGTGCCTCACAACTCGAGAGAGTACATAATTGCAACACATTCATGCAGAAACAAGATACTGGGAGTAAAATGATGTTACCATTGTCAAAGTAGATGACAGTAGAGTTTCTGGAGACACTTGGGTCAAAGTTGGCCATTAGAGGAGCGATGTACTGTGTAGCTGTTAGCATTCGGTGGACCACATCACCTGTATAGATGAACCCTGAGAGGAAAAGAGAAAAGCACACAACTTTCTGTAGTCTGAATCATAATTCTAAAAGCTACAGTTGGATATTCTTAAACAGTTAAAAACACTGACATAATGTTTGATGTCTCAGGTACATGCCCAATAAAATGGATTCAGCCTTAAGCAACTCATAAAAACAAACACTGATCTTCTGTCGCTCCATTCTTAACCCTCCTCCCTCTTTAAAGCTGTACCTGAGACAGTATCCTTTGGGAAGACAACAAGTCTGTCCTCCAGTCTAACGTTAAAAGCTTCTCATTAACCCACAATAATCATTCCATTCTTAAACTCTGGCCTGAAGCTGTAGGCTGCTTGAGCTAGCAGTAGTGATTAATTAGTAGTATTATCTTTGATCAAAAACAGCACATCTGAGAGGCTTTAAAGGAAGGTATGTTGAGTGATAAGTTAAATATCATCATGGGGTTCTTAGACTTGTTCATCCTGCTTCCTCTACCGGTGTACTCCTGTTTTTACTCCTCCTCATCAATCACAGATGTTAATGAAGAGACCATGACAACAAAAAGGGATGTTAACTTTTCCAATTTATTCGTCCCTTAAGTGAGGCATAAATAGATGTCTCCACAGACAGGGACGTGCTCAGTCAACACAAACTAGAGATGCATCATTTAGCAGCCTGTAAACATGGTTATTAATGGACTCCAGAAACAGGGGGAAGCTCCCACTGAGGGAACAGTCTGTGCATAAAATATCCGCAGAATCAAATTGTGTCTTAATTTCCCTATTGACAAAAAAGTTTAGCAAAGTCAGCTGCTACTTTTTGAGTTGTTCAGGGCATAATCTTGTTTATTAATAATAATATCTTCCATTAAATTCCTTCACACTCCTTATCACATGTTTTATACAAGTCTGGACAGATGTGCATGTAAACTGTAAGTGGTTGGCAGCGGAATACAAGCACAAGGCGGTAACGCTACTTTCAATTCTGTGCTGAATGTCAGAAGATCAAAGATGTTCAAGAGAAAAACATACTGTCATAATTGAGGACAGGCCTATAAGTCCCCATTCAATGTCACCACATGTCTCTTCATACAGTAGACAGGCTATAAAACACATCTATCACTTTGGAAACCAGGAGCAGAGAATGCAAGGAAGGGAATCAATCTTCCCCCATAGCCCTCTGAAATACCTCTATATAAAGCAGTGTGAGCACACACACACTGAGAGCAGGAAGAGGAGTGAAGGTGTGACGTTTTTTAGTTATGTGAAGTCCTAATAGCTGATACCTCCACCTGGAAGAGGAGTGGAATACAGAGCTCAAGAGGAAGAGCTACCATGATATTACTCCAATCAAAAAAGTTCAGTATACGGACAATGTAAAACAACAAAGTGTCATTTTTATACTTCTTTTTTGTGTACTGAATGAACAAATAAAAAATGTGTTAATTATTTTTTGTACTGGTAAAATTTTGTTTCCTTTGGCACAGTCTGGCTAGTTCTTTCCCCATTTCTAGTGTCATGCTACTGTAAGCTAACCAGCTGCCAGCTTCAGCTTCATTTTTAATGTAGACTGAAAGGTATCTCCAACACTTAGCAATAAAGAGAGTAAGCTTATTTCTCAAAATGTTGCTTTAAATATGTATGCTAATCATCTTCACCTATAGTAAGTATCCTTAGCTGGTAATACAGTGCATTTGCCAACTGTATCACTGTCTGAACAAATACAACAGGAAAATTCATTGGTGTGCATCTCCCAGGACATTTTTCAGACACGATGTGCCCACAAAGCCAATAAATTGTGGGTGACCCCTCCCACGGTCTCTTCATGTTCCTGCCCTCTGGTAGGAGATATGAAAGCACCTGATCCAGATCAACCATACTCCTCAATAGCTTCTTCCCCCAAATACTAGCTCACTACTCACACCACAAACCAAAGAACTCCTACAAAAGTAGTACCTTATAGGGATTTTTTATTATAGGAACCTACTGAAGCATGTCATACCGAGTAACACCCTCGTCACATGTTTTGCGTTTCTTTCCACTACAGTGCGCCTGCTTTAGCAGTGCATTATGGGACCTAAATTTCAACACTGCTCAGGAGGTAATACTAAAATCAAGCACCAGGAATGTGAGGGGGGAGGGGGTGCGTGTATGCAGAGCAGTCACCGGTGAGTAGTTAAATGTTCATGTCCTCATACCTCAAGCATTAGCACTATGTGTAAACACATAGCTGACTGCATGTGTTAGAGAGGAGCAGCCCCTCCCTCCTCTAAACAGACCAACAGAGAGAAAATACAGTGGAAAACTGCTACTTTCTGTCTCTCCAGACCATGAACACAACATAAGCTAAGACCATCCACCCTGTGTTATGTTATGGTATACGACTGGTTGTATGATGTTACCATTTCACATCCTTTATCTGATTGTGCAACAATACAAATGACTCTCCTCCAGATCAGCCATTATACATTCCTTCTCATACTGTATTTACCCAACAACTCAAGCGCTTTTTTTTTTAAATCTCTCTTCTGTCTGATTTTCTTGGTTTTGACCACTTTCTCCTTTCACTGTCAGACTCTGAAAAGATTAGAAATCCCCCAACCAAACACACACACACACACACACACTTGTCTGGACTCACAAAGCCCTGTGCTGAAAGGTTTTACTTCTGGTGCTGCCTCAGTTTTCTACAAGCAATCTCTTGAAAACACAATGCAACTTATTTCTAAAGAAAATCAGACAGCTTTTCAATACGCTAAAGAGGTGAGAGCTGCAGGGCACTCGTAGAGAGGCAATTCATTTATTGTGACCATCACTTACAGCAGAAGGAAGGAGGAAGTTAGTGGGAGAGAGGAGAAAAAGAAGAGGAGTCTGAGGTAGAGAAAGAGGTTTAGTGGGATCATTCTTTCCTTGACAAGATGTTTATCCAAAAGTGCTGGGTTGTCTATGTCCAAGACAAACACAAGCAGGAATTAGCAGCCCCACTAGACTAAAGCTTCACTTTACTGGACACAGTGTTTAGACAAGATCTGTGTTCCTTCGGCTCTGTGTTTAATATACTGGATAATTTCTGTCTATCACAGCTGTTCTGAGGTCAAGAAGAGTCAGGACTGGATTTGTATGTACGCCCACATTTTGTCTTTTGTCTTTTACATATTAAGCTACAAGGTTTTTATCTAAATTAAATGCATGCTTTTAGTTTTTTATTGCTGATTGATACAAAACAGCGCCAAGTCAGCCTATAACCAATCCATTATGTTCTAGGAAAAATCCTCTGGCACAGAGAACATGAAGCACTTTAATGTTTCATAAGTGGAATAGTTAAAACTGGCAGTAATCGCCACCAAAAAAATCAAATACAAATGACAGATTACCTTGAACCTAATATCTAATGTTCCCTTCTCTGGCGGTATCATTTAAATAATATTCAGGGGCTGAGAGAGGTAGAACTATATTTCTAATAACTGATTTGGTAAAACTATTCTGGGTCTAAAGTATGATAGCTAGCTCAGTATATACAGCATGCCACAGCTGGATATCCATCCACACAGCTGGTAGCAGCCAGATCATTACTGTTCAATTCCCGGCTTGTCCTGTCCACATGTTGAAGTGTCCTTGAGCAAGACACTGAACCCCCAGTTGCTCCCAGTGATGTCACCGGTGCGTGGATGTTTGAGTGTTTGGAAGTGCGAATGGCTGAATGGCCAAATAGTGTGAAAGCGCTTTGAGTGTGCTGCAATGCATAGAAAAGCGCTATACAAGTATACGACCATTTATCATGATATTCAGTCTCTACATATGTGTGAACTGAACCTAAACAACCTGTCAATTCACAAGACCTGCAATATGTTGACAGTACTGTCTTAACTGTGTGGGAAAATGTTCTCTGTGTTGACATTTTCCATTGGTTTGGACCACAGTCTGAGGGATTGTTTAATATATTCTGTCTCTTTTTGTTAGGCCTTCTACCTAGACCACAGTACATTTTTAGTAAACCACAGTAAATCTTTAGCATATTTCATAAAAAAGACTAATAAAAAAGACTTAAAGCTTAAAAAAGCCTTAAAAATCAGTCTACATGGCAACCCCACCTCGTTCCCCATGTTGTTTGAGGATTGGCTGATGTACTGTTTGAAAAGTAGCTGTAACTCTGAAAATAACAAAATAAAAATAAAAAATACTAAATGTAATTTAACTCTCTGCTCCTTTGTTGCACTTTGCTGAGTTTTGGCACAGGTAACACAAAGAAAAATATGTGCTGAAGAAACTTGCTGACAGAAATGAAAACAGCAAGAAAAGATGGCAGAGTGGGGAGAAGAGAACAAGTTGACTGATCAGCCCTGACATAGAGGGATATCAGCAGGGCATTTAGAGACAAAGCCCCAGCGGTCTGCAAGAAGCAGATAGCCACCTTCTCCTCCACAGTTTCCCATCATCAACGGCCTCATCCCTACCTCTCCATCTGGAGGAATGCAAATTCACGTTATCTCTGTGTTAGTGTCTGCACCCGCCCGCTCCTCCTCAACATCACCCAGAACGTTTCTGAAGCCAACTCAATGTTCCCAGTGACTGAAGATCAAGTAGGAAAATAAGACCGTAATGAAAATGATGACAAGACACACAACCGATTATTTCTGCATTATTCCAGTGGCAGTGAAATGCAGCACATCTCTGAAATAGTTGAGCAAGAGCAGGGCTTTAGTCTTTGATGTGATAATAGCTGGTTGGGGTGTTGTGGTTTTGCTGTCAGGACTCAAGTGGAAAATTGTTCTGCACACTCTGGCACACACGTCTGCTGAGTCATGTGTCCAACCCACACAGATGCATCCTGATAATACCACCTCCTTATCCGAGTCTCTCAGGGCGTGCTAGGCCACTTGGCACAGGGGCTCCTGTTTCCAGCCCAAACCCATTGATCTGGTTTCTCTTCCAGTTAAGTCTGGTGTGGAGCTGGTGAAGCTGAGCACTGGGATTGGTTTGTTTTTTTTATCCCCCAGTCTAGCAGACTATCCTGCAGAGGTGAGAGCTTTGACTGAGACCTACTTATTCACTGGCAGTGTGTTGTTGAAGATTGTGCTGTAGTTTGTGCCAAAGCCCTTTCAGCTCTGGATTGTCTGGTTTAGTTTCCCAGAAACATTTCATGAAACAGCTAACTGTTTACTTTTCAGTATTCAGAGGTGAGATCTCTGGACATTGGCCATGCCATGCTCTCGGGTACAGTACACCAAGTACCAAAAACATATGTTTCTGGTACTTGGTGCACACACATGTACCCTGGACTACTTTATCTTCTCCATTTCATAAATGCCTCTGTACTCCAGACTCATTTTATAAATCTGACCATGTTCCTTCCTAAACCCCACAGCAATAAAAACTATTTACAGTCTAATGCACCAAGCACAAACAGGATATATCCAGTAATAATAACTATTATTGTGAGAGAAGAGCCCAAGAACAGTGTTCACTTACCACCAGTCGCCACGGTGATTTCACGCAGGAAATGTCCATAAAATGGGAAATCGAAGGACAGATTAACTCTCTGTGAGGGGAAAAAACAGACAGATGACCCCGGTCAGAAGGACAGAGGAAGGAGGAGGATCAGAGAAGAGAAGAGCGTTCTCATCTTCAAAGCAACAAGAGGATTCAGATCAGAAGGAAAGTGTGGAAAGAAATCATGATGTGCTAAATCTGCTCAACTTTATGGAGCAGTCACCGGTCATTTTAGAGCAGAAATTTAAAGTAAAGATTTCAAGGAATGTCACCTTCAACTTTATAAAAGGAAACTCACTTTGTAAGGAGGGATTAAACAGACACAACACCGAAATATGCTGACAACAACCAGCAACAATCTGTATGTCAAGGGTATAAATACAAAAAGACAAAGATAAAAATGTAAATGTCATTACATTTAGCACAAGAAGAAAGAGAAATCATATCATCTAAAATATGTAAAATTTTCAAGTGAGAGATATACAGCACTATATGCATATTAATTAATGAGGAGTCAAGCAATAACAGCACTTTTTAGGTTCCCATGTAGATTTTATAGAAGCTCTTTTCTGCTCAGGATAAGAAAAATAGGTTAACAAATGTTAGCACTGTCACTGTGAGCATATTATATGCTGAATTTACTGTAAGTCAACACAAAGGTTGGCCTCACAGAATCACTACTGTAGCATGGCTGTACACTCGAAAATGTCGCTGTAAGAAATTATTCTGTAATGAAACTACTTTTGGACCAAAACTCAACATTACCACATTGTTTAATCCCTGGACTGAATACGTTACAGTTATGTCATACCACTGCCAGAAACTGTTACAGAGATTAACAGTGCTATGTAAACATGGAGCTATTATAAAATATCCTAGATTACGCCGGGGGGTGTAATCCTGTGCAAACCGCTGTGTGTCTTGCAGTCTATCTAGCCAATCCTGAGTTCAACTTTTCTGTAATGAAACTGACCTCTGTGGCTGCATCTCGTTTTACAACCTTACTGGCCAATTTCATTCAGCGCTGGCAGGAATCAGTGCCAGGAAGCAGCATTCTCCAATCCTGCTCCAGTACTCAGATTTTTATGCAGTTCCTCGGGAACTCTGTTTAAAATGTTAACCTCCTGATAAGGTGGATGAATTTCAGCACAAATGGGTTTCACTTCTTCTTGCACTGCAGTCTCACAATCAAATTATGGTGGCATGATTTCTACAGTACATGTTTCTTTTGACTCTGATTTGCTTGGCTGGTCATTGAATAGGGAAATTCACTCATTTTTTCAGACTAAGCCAAAGTCAGAGAAACATTCATCTTCGTTCCTATATTATTTGGAAGAAAAACCTTGCCAGGACGTTCTGTGGCTAAAAAGAATAGCTTTCCTCAGATTGTACGGTCTAATCCATCATTACATGACTGAAGGTGGAGGAGCAGAATACACAATGTGGGACTCTATTCTCTCTCCTCTTCAGCTATTGTTCACCCTGGGTGCTTTCTTTTTTTTCGTTCAGTCTGTGACTGCCCTGCTGCTATGCTGCTCTCTCCAGTCAGTCTATTACTGCCTTACAGCATGTGTCTTCATCAGCATGCACTGCACATGGGTCACCTGCTTGTGCTGAGGTGGAAGAAGGGGAGCTTTTAAACGTCACTGCAGAGGTGCATTTGGACTGTTTAAATGTTTAAAGGGATATGTCATTTTTCAACTGCATCTCCATGCTTTTAACAGTAGTAGACAAAATATAGGATATGTGTCTGTCATGTCTCTCATAAATCCACTTTTCAATGATGCTGATGTGAGTAATAATTTGCCATGATAACATCTGTGTTAAAACTAGCTGACAAAGATGCACATTTACCACAGAAAGCAAACAGAAATACTGAGTATTCCAGTCTCTTGTTGTTGTTGCTTCTTCTTATTGTTGCTATTGGTTTTAGCTTTCTTTTTGTGCCCACATTGCTGGCTAAACCACTGACAGGATATACAATGGACATCGCATCGTCACTTCCCTCCACTATGAAAAGGGAAGCCAAAATATCATGAATATGGCGGCCTGCCATTTTCCTTCTTTAGCAACCAGATTCTGTGCAGTAGCGACCAGAAGCAGAATGACAGCATCAGACTGAAATACACCCTTTCTTATATTATCAAATAAATTACTTTTAATAAACTTACTTTTTTTGTGAAAAAAAAACTTTAAATATGCCAAGACACCAAGTCCAACCAAGTTATCAAGTTAAAAAAAGTAAATCTCCTCTGATGTCATTTGTTGACTTACCGCTGCTTGTCTGTGTGTGTTGGACAAAATCCCATGGATCTTCACTTTCTCCTTGTCCATCTGGTCAATATTTACCCACAAGTCCTTGCTCATCGGATCTGATGGACCATAAGTTTTTGACATGTAGTAGTTGTGATCTGTATCCTCATGCTGAAAGACAAAACAAAATGCATGCTGTGAACAGAGAATACTCAAGTCGCACTTGATCCCCACAGACTTCCAACTTCTTTCGCAACCTGTTCCTAATTGACTCCTCACTTGATTCAAACTTGTGAACTCATGAACACAGACTGGTAACCTTATGAACTCTACATCACAGGGTGCATCCACTGCAAGATCTCACTAACTTCCCTTATCTGTGTTATGTGCCCAGGCTTCCATTTGCCGTTGCCCATGGACAAAGATTTGTCTCTCTCCTTCATGCCTCTTCCCGTTACCTGCTCCGCAGTCTATCCTCATGTCAGTGAGTCTGATTGTCCACCAAAGACCTCTCACTCAAGGTGGAATTCAGAAAGCTAGTGACCTGCTTTGTAGGGTACTTCCCCATGTTCAAGGTTCAACATGGCTACTGTTCATCTGCACTTTCTTAGGAGCATCAGAACTTTCCATGTCTCCTGAGTCAAACCTGTCCTGATAGGACCACTGGTTTCCAGTGTTTCTCTATCAACGTTTGCTTGCCTCTCACTGTGTTAGAGATGACTGCCCTGATTTTGGACCTTGCCTTTGTTTGCACCATTGTCCCTTTACCTGTACTCTTTGTCCCTTTTTTATGGAGCACCTCCTGTTTAACTACCTATTTACCTATGAGGTTCACATGCTCATACAATTCAACAAGGGGAAAGTTAGATAGTCTGGAGCAGCTCAGAGGGACACAGTATAAACTCACTATAAACCCTTATTAGTTTTATTAGTTAATACACTGGATGCATATCAAAATGAAAACACGCTCTTAGAATAAACATATTAGGTTGAACATATTAGAGACTTAGACTTCAGAGGTGACTCATGAACATACAGTATTTAGAAGAAGGAAATACTCTGCTGAGCTACCATGAGAAGTGCTCAGATGATGTCTGTGCTGGTATTATACTGTGTCAGTACACATATTCATAAAGAGACATCCTGTGGCTCTTTGTTCCACTGAGCTGCTATAAATCAAATTCAAACCTACACTGTAAACTGCTATTTCAGAAAATGATTTAAATCTCTACTCTGACAGAAAACTTGTGCATACAATGTAGAAAATCAATAACATAAAAGCCATTTTTAATTTTATTGGAGAACAAATTGCCTGTTAAATTAAATTCAATGGCAATGCAATCATTGTCATTATGTATGGTGTGTGTGCATTCTTTTTGTCCTTCCTTTCAACGCTCTGGTTTTTATTAGAGCTCAATCAGCACACAAAGTGGCTTTTAAATCAAATTTTAAATAAAGAAACCAAGAAGCCAATAGACTTCTTCCACTCCTAAACAGCCTGGACCAGACAGCCAAGTCAGGATTGCCTTTAATAACAGAAACACTCATGGACCTTTATAAACAATAGGGGAGAGGCTGGTCTGCTTGGATTGTTTTCTGTACAGAATTAGAAAGAATACCTGTCGGCCCCCTATTGCTCGTCTCTGGATCTAATGAGACACCTTACAACTGTGTCTTTTATCTAAAACACTGTTAATGTTTTGCTGGGTTGGGAGTCAGGGGAGTGTACACTACATCTGAATAATGGAAACTCACACAGCTCTGTGAATACTTTGATATATGGGTGGTATTACTGTCAGCTACTGTGCTTTGGTTGGCACAAGGCAACGAGACAAACATCAATTAATGCACAATCTTCCTCTGTTCATTGCGTTTTGCTTCAAGCCTTCATATTTCTCTCAGGGAGTTGTAACCTAATGCCGCTACTGTTCAGCCTGGGATATAAAACAGACAGATAATGTTTCAGGCTTAGCAGAGCCTAAATATCAAAATTCCAAATAGAGTTCAGCTATGTAGGTGGTATTATGTCTAATGAATTAGATTTAAACAAACAATGCCAGAAGCCTTTCATCACAGCTTAAAGTGGAGACAAATTGTGTCAGGAAATAGGGCCCCTCCAGACAGCCTTAGTCAGCACATTACTTTTAGAATCGAAAACAAGGGCACTTGTAAAAGGAGCAGACGCTAAAGCCAGGCTGAAAAGTTTCCTGCTAATCAGCACAAGATGTTTTGGTCTTGTGGAGAATTATCGAATGAGATACAGACATGGTTTGAATTACACTGTGACTTTTGTGGGGCAGGGGTCTCTTTTCTCATTTGGTGTCTTTTGTCTTTTAAGGTGTCTAAGGTGGAGGGGAAAGAAAAACACTTTATCAAGCTAATGCTTCATACATACAGGAACAAATCCCCACCAACATGCCCATCCTTTGTCAATGGAAACCAGTTGTTGCTGGTCAGTACACCCCACCGTGTGAGACAGAGAGCAAATAAGCCCAGCGACGCAACAGCCCAGGTCGGGGGAAAGCTCAGTTTTATGCCACTCAGTAAGAAATTTAGGCCTATTTCTAGTTTCTAGGTGAAAGGGGCTGCTGAAGTGAATGCACAAACAGAAGGTCTGCTACAGCCAGTCACTAGGAAATGCTGATCTGACACCAAATTCCCACACAATAATTAGGCATCGTGAACCGTAATAAATAAAAAATCCCCTGCCCATGCTCAGATAGTTCATGTTCAAAGCATTCTCTGAAGCTGAGCAAAGCTGCACACATGTATTTAAACCAACCAAAGACAGGACAGAAGATTTTAATTAAACTGAACTCGGGTCTCTTTTCGGGGAGCTAAGCCACTCCTGCCTCCCACAGTAATTCAAACACACTCAACACTCCTCAGATGTGAGAGGAGCCAGCTGGCAGTTCTTGCTCTCAAGGGGAAGAGTGAAGGGGAAGATGGGCGGGGTGCCATCGTCCAGCTGGGTGTAGGTGGACACAAGGCTGTTAGGGCTTTTCAAGAGCACAGCAAACAGAGGGCAGGGAGCATGGATGAAGAAACAGTCACACATACATGCACAGACATTTACAGTTTTTGCTGGAAGTCTTCAAATCAGGCACAGCAAGCTTGGGCCAAACATGTGTTAGCAAGTGAAGTGTGGTATTATTAATGTGTGAAAATACAAACATGGTGTGAAAATCATTACTGATGCCACACTGGCTCCGTTTTGAACAGTCTTTAGAGGTACTGGGACAGGTGAGCTGCAAGCCTGTGAGTATTTTGACAGGTAGAATCAGATACATCTCCAACAAATTACATTCACAAAACTTGAAATCATTATATTTCAAGTATTTAAATTTTAAAAAGCCATCAATACTGTCTAGATTCGGACATCCAGCCAAACAAAGTAATTGGGAACAAAGAGCCTTAGTTGGGGAGGTAACCAAGAGCCAAACTGTCACTCTAGCAGACCTTCAAAAGTCCTCTGCAGAGATGGGAGAACCTGCCACAAACAAGACCACCTCCGCAGCTCTTCATCAATTAGGCCTTTATGTTAGAGTTAAAAGATATAAGCTACTTTGAGTAAAAGGCATATGTCAAACAGCATTAAAGGACTCAGAGCATGAAGAAAATGAGACAAAAACTGAACTGAACTCCAAGTACTATGTCTAGAGAACACCAGCTCATCACCTGACTGATACCATCCCTACAGTGAAGCATAGTGGTGGCAGCATCGGGCTATGGGGAACAGCAGCAGGTACAAGAAGACTGGTCAGAAGTGAGGGAAAGCTCAATGCAGTCAAATACAGGGACGACTTTGAAACAAACCTGCTCCGGAGTGACCTGAGAATGCATGACAGTTCACTGTTCACCACCACAGTGGCTCAAAGCATGCAACAAAGACAACACTGGAATGGTTTCAGGACAAGTCTCTGACGGTATCGAGTAGCCCAGCTAAAGCCCAGACTTAAACCCCATTTAACATCTATGGAGAGACCTGAAGATAGCACTTCACGGACACTTCCTGTACAATCTGACAGAGCCTGAGAGGATCTGTCAGTAAGGGGGGATGAACTGCCCAAATCCAGGTGTGTGAAGTTACCAGGAAGACTCAAACCTGTGAATGCTGCCAAAGGGGCTTCTACAAAGTACTGAATTAAGGGTCTGAATACATTGTAAATTAAAGATTTTATTCAGGAACCCCTGCCCCATTTTTAATGGTGCATTATAAACTGGAATACTGCAGCCAGATGGAGAAATAATTGATGTTGATGATAAACCATTGTGCGGCTCAGAAGTACAAAAACAAACTGTAGAAAAGATTAATTCTGTGTACAAACCCATCCTAGACCCATTCCCATCTCTGTTTGAGGCATTTACTCAAGCTGCCCACCACATCAATTCTGCATGAGGCCCGAATATCTTGTGCTAACATGTTTTCACTTCGGAACGGCTCCTTAATACAGGAGAGACTCTGAATAAAGTTGCATTCACATTTATGAGATCATTCTGCGTGTGTAAAAAAAAAAAAAGAGGTTTTGAAATATTTCTTCAATATAATGGCTCACTAATGGGTGTCAGAAAATAAAAGTACACAGAAGTATAATCTCTTCAACTACAGTGTGTCTTTGCTACTAATAAAATGAAGGATCACTTGAGCTTTGAATAAATAATCCAATATAAGTTGCTTGTCAGGTGGGCTTCTTTCTTCCTAAGACACTGCACATACCCCCATCAGTGTACACAGTTAAGTCAGGCTGCAGTCTGTTTGAAAATCATTAAAAGGATGTCATTCCTCATGTGTGCAGCTCTTCATCGGCTCATATTGTCTGTGATCCATTATTCATCGCTCACTCCAGTTGTGCCAGCTTCATGGTATTGGTAGTGAAACCACATACTGGTCTGGGCAGCACCAGACTATTTCAGATTCCTTTTTACAGCAGCATAGATGCTCTAGGTTTGAACTACAAGTCTTCACAGATCCAAAATGTTCAGCCAATCTGAAACAGGTCTGTGGAAGACAAACCTGAACCTGGCATACATAAATTAATTTTCAAAAATGAGAGAAACAGATCCAAACAGACCTGAGAATAACTAGACCCAATCCAAAATACTGTGCTGCATGTTCAACCTGAACAGAACTTAAGAAGAAACCTGCAGCACAGACGCACTATCTGATTATTTTCTCCATTAATCATTCAGTTGTTTAAAAAAAGGTTTTAAAAAATCCCACTACAATTTCTCAGACTCCATTATGACATCTTCAAATGTTTTGCAGTTCAAAAAACATACAGTAAAATCAATTTAATGCATAATTGTGGGTGCTTTGTTTTTTAATAATTATTAGAAAACAGCAGCAACATAATGTCTTACAAATTAATCCATCCATCCATCCATCCATCTATCTTCTTCCGCTTATCCGGGGCCGGGTCGCGGGGGCAGCAGTCTAAGCAAAGATGCCCAGACCTCCCTTTCTCCAGACACTTCCTCCAGCTCCTCCGGGGGGATGCCAAGGCGTTCCCAGGCCAGCCAAGAGACATAGTCCCTCCAGCATGTCCTGGGTCTTCCCCAGGGCCTCCTCCCAGTGGGACATCTCTCTTACAAATTAATCCATCCATCCATTATCTATACTGCTTATTCCTGAATAGGATTCTGCGGGCTGGAGCCAATCCCTGCAGACACTGGGCGAGAGGCGGGGTGCACCATGAACAGATCACCAGTCTGTCACAGGGCTTCTTAAGGATTAATTTGTTTATATGCTTCAAAAACTAATTTATAGAAATATTTGAAAGTCCTGTTTTCACCTCTTGCAACAAACTGTGAAATATTCTGTAGCCACTCATGATATAATGTGTGATATAATTCCATTTTTTTAACCAATTCGATCTGAGTTATTCTTACAATGGACAAATGAAATAAAATAAAAAGTAAAACATCTAAATATAATGACCTACTTGTGTAATTCAGGTAGTGGACCCTAGGCCTCTGCTATGCAGCTGACATACAACATTATTACTGTTGTAAATTAAAATTGTGGGTGACTTAGCCATTTGTAAGAAATATGATCAGAAAGCATTTCAGCTGAATAAATAAACATGCCGATGTGGAAACAAATATTGGGAGAGTAAAGTAAATAAGAAGAATGAGGTGAGTCCAGACACCTGATATACAATATAAGCCTTCCTCTCATCTGTGGGTGTAGATCTCCTGAATTGGATTTGCAAGCTGTCTGATGGGTTCAGACAGAACGTGTGTGTCTGGTACTTTATTAAAGTGACATATGGGGACATAAAGGTTCACAGAGTGCACTACACAAAGCATTTACAAGCTCACTACCTGGGGAAATGACTGCAAACCAGCATAGTGGCTGACAGACGGAGAAAAGTGAACGACATGTAAGCTGACGCTCGACTAAAAGATTAAAGACTAAAGCAGAGAGGACACAGAGTGCAAATTAAACAACTATAGGTTCATTTCAAGAGCATCTCCCCAGGCACTTGAGATGACATATTACATGGTTTAAACACTGAGCAACATAAAGGTGATAAATATCTCTCTCCAAACCGAGACACAAACAAGAATAGAAATAACCTCATTTGAAATTCACTGCAGGTTTTGAATATGGAACATGGTACAGTAAAGGTAAAAGTAACACTGGGAATCACGTGAGGTAATGAAAACTAGCAAGACAAGCAGCTTACTGCCTCACTGTGTGGATCCTCTCCCTTAAGAAACACAAATAAATAATGAATGTAGTGAAGTACGTAATCACCAAAGAGCCTCCTGAGCTGTAAAGATCCAGATACCCAGTAACATGACCCATATTATTACATACAGTATCAAAGGATGCTTTACAAGCACAACAGCAGGATAGATGGAGCCTCAAAACACCAGTACTGTAAGATCTGGTTAAATGATCAGGACAGGCTGTACTTCACTGTAGATACAAACAGTCAGGCATGAAACTGAGACTATCAAATGTACAAGTTATTTTAGGGGGAACACGGGGAGTTCTATGTCTCTCATGGCTTCACTTAACTGTTGCATAATTTATACTGTGTTTGTTGGTTTGTTAATGGTCCTTGTAAAACTCAGGCTTAAAATGTTGCCGTCTGACAGCTATAAGCAACCTCGCATGTCAAACCTGAGGTCCTGACTCATGTTGGCCCACTTGCTATGCTGGTCATTTCTCAGACTGAGCAGGTGTTGACAGTAAAAACAGCACTTTGTTAAATAACTGCAAGGGTCTGCACTGGTGTGGGAGTGCAAGTAATAAAAGAGGAAATATAATCCAGGAACTCCAGGATGAGAAATATCTCATAAACTTTAAGGATGATCAGACACCCAAATAACTGCACAGAGGTTTACAATACTGCAATACATTTTGCAACTGTGGAAATCATTTAATTCACTGTTTCAATAATCACAAGGTGAACCATAGCAGTAAACTTTCTAATCTACCAAAAATGTGAAGGGAAATAGCAGTTATAATGTTTCTCACGTGTGAAGTCTGTTTCCTGGATCCAAACCAATGGAGAATGACAAGAAAGTGTGTTTTTTAAGCTTCAGACTCAATCCCAGTTTGTTCCAGCCCTCTTCTTCCTTACAGTGACCTGAAAACCCGTGTTTAATCTGGGTTAATGATCCAGAGAGCCGATACAGTGAGTCACAGTCATTCAGGGCGTCAGATAGTCTGCTGTTAAGGCCACTGTTATAAACCTGCATGTCAAGGTGAGATGAATCTGTTGTTGGAAACTTATGTTATGGCACCAATACCCAAACACAGACTAACCTCAAAGCAAAGACAATGACAGAGGAAAGATTTCTTCAGTTCTATAAAAGTGGACGCCTGATTTATGGTCTTATATAGCAGCTTTCTACACATTGAGATGTACTCAAAGCTATTTCCCATTCGCATACGCAAGCATTCACACACCAGTGATGTCGCCGGGAGCAGCTAGGGGTTTAGCACCTTGCTCAAGGATACTGCAACATGTGGACCAGAGAATCGAATCGCCAACCCTCCAGTTAAGCAACAACTCACTCTACCTCCTAAGCCAAAGCCGTTTTTATGGGAAACAAAACACTTTAAAACAACGCAGCAAAACCCAATCTGTAATAATACATTGTGCTATTTTTACATTTTATTTTTATACAGATTAAACAAAGGACAAAGAATGTACTTTTCAACAGAGAGAGGCTAGCTCTTTCCTGCCACTATGCTAAGATAAACTAACTGGCTTCTGGCTTCATCTAATTTTTGGCAAAATGTTAAACTATTCCCTTGAACCAAAACATTTTTGGTGCCGTTATTATTCAACTTTATCTTAAAAATGAGTCTTTGCTGTTAGAGCAATTGCTTCTTTCCAGATTCACTATTTTGCATCAGCAGACAATAGTATGATTGTAAGAGAGTCAAAGAAAGAAGTGTTCTCCACAGGAAATAACATCAACAGACCAGAGTATGATACAGCCATATATGACTCGTTGCATTTTAGTACCGGTCCAGATTTTCATTTGGCACTAATCACTAATTAAAGTACACAACACAGGTGTGCCAAAACATAAATCCTGACAGGTATACTTTTCCTTTAAGAGGACAGCTCCTCCTCTGTCATCTTCTTAAAGCTCCCTCACAGCAGAAAAGACAGACTTTAAATCCAGTTATGTGGGAGATTTCAGCTCAGTGTCTATTTTCTGACCTCTGAATACGAAGCCTTTCTTATGTCAGTAAAGTGGTGGTGGCAAGTGAGGGGCTGTGTGTGTTGGGTATTGACTGGAGTGTTTGTGCAGTAGACTGCTTTTCCATTTGGCAACAACAGACAGACATCAAAGATTAACACAATGAGGGAGGACAGGTTTATGTGAGTGTGTGTGTGATGGTATATGAGGATGCACTTGTACAATTAAATATGTGAGCATGTGTTTTATGTAGTTACATCAGTGTGTTTACACTTGTGTCATATGTATATGTGTGTGTTAAGCTGGGCGTGTTGTGTGTGGACGTTTACTGATGACAATCAAAGCTCCCTTGCTCCTCACTGAGAGACGTGAGGCTGTAAACCTGAGATGATTAGAAGCCACAGAGAAACTTAACAAGCTGTCTAAGTCCAGGCAGCCCACATCATTACCACTGAACACACTGATGCTGTGTGCTGGCCATGGTGCCATAACAAGGGACACGGGATATGCCTTTTATTTACATAGACAGGCTGAACCCTGAGCATTAAAAAGCTGCAGGTCCACCAACCCCTTGAAACTGCAGGAAGCTGGGTTAATTTCCTGTTCTGGTCTCTCTGAGGACAAGTTTAAGAGGACCCAGTCACATGCAGAGGGTAAATGGACACCTAAGGCACATTTGAAAGACCTGTAAAAGTAAGTTGAAGCCCTAGTTCTATGAAATAATAAACCGTACATTATTAAGAGTCCAATTGTCTATTTTGTAAAAAAAATGAGACACACACACACACACACACACACACACACACACAGTGCTTTTTTGGCTAACTTTGGCTGTGCTCCTTGTTTACTCCAGGGCAGGGAAACTGCGGTGCATCATAAGATTTGACCAGTATCGATTATAAAGCACTAGAGAAGTGTTAGTTGTATTTAAGGCATCTGTTTGCCATTGTTTTTCATTTTTTATTTATTAATACTGACAAGCATCACATTTTGACTCTGGCAAGGGTGGCCAATCAGATTCTGGCCACATCCCAGAGCCATCTATGCAGTTATCATGGATCACTTAAAAAATATTGGTGTGAATCATCATCTACCTCGATCTGGGAGCTGTTGTCTGCTTCCTCTGCTGACAGCAGGCCTGGAAAGCCCTCTGGCTCCTTCACCTCCAGCCCCTGGTCCTGCTCCTGGCTGGCCCTGTTACTGTCCATGTTACGAGGTTTTGGGGGAACCCATCTTTTCAGCCTGTGACTGTACAGCTTCATGTCCACTGCTGCGTCCTCATCTCGTGCCTGGCCCTGCACGTATGAGTAAGACACCTCTGAGAAGAGAAGAAAAGAGAGTGTGAATAACAAATCAGCAATGGTTAAAAAATATTAATTAGCTCAAAGCCAAATCAATATAAAGTATTAACTGAATGTTGCTAAAGGTACAATAATTCCCTGACATACACTTAAACTGCAGTAATACAGCAAATTAGCTTTAAACAAGTGAACCCTGTTTTAGCCAAACTTAAAAGAAAATCTGCTATGTTTTGCAAATTCATGAATTGTACAAAAAATAATTCCATATTTTTACTTTCATATAAGCAGGAACTGTTCAAGCCATTAATCTTATGCTGCTCTGTCACAGCTGACTGTCTCCACAGACTTCTCTCATTGTTTTGGGGACAAATCTCTTGCTGCCTGAAACAGACGCCCATTAGGAATGACTCAGTAGCCGTCACACAGACCAGTGGGCCACAGTCATACCCAATCATCCCTGCCCATGACTGAAATGAGACACTGGTGGCAGGTGAGAAATGACACGATTAACCAAGCCTGAGAGAGATCAGAGGTGAAATGTGCTTCATCTTTATAAGAAGTTGTTTTGTAAACTGAAATGAGTCTGAATGAGGAAGAAAATGCTAAATATCAGGTTCTGTCGGAAGGAGTATCATAGCATCACCATTCAAACACACATTGGATGATCAATCATATGGATCAGTCTTCTGTTCAGTGTTTTATTCAATAGCCATCCAAAATTTTGTATCACAGCCACCATCTAGTAAAAAGTGGGACACACAAGGGTTTTCTGCCAAATCTGAGCTGATTAAACTTTGGCCCCCTCCTGCTCTCTATCATTCTGTGTTTAAATGAAGCCAACATCACAGTTTAGTAGCTGTTTTTACATATGTTTCTGTTTTTGCCATCAGACAATACTGGTTTGACAATAAGGGTTTTCTGTTACACGGGTCAACAGTAACTCCACTGCAGCTGCACTGAAAGTCTGATCAAATCACTACAACAAAGTGCCTGACAAAACCATGGGCAAATGACAACTTCTATTTTATGTGATAAGTAAAAGATGACAGAAAGTTACAATCATCCTTTTCCAAAAACTTGGTTTACCTTACACAATGACTTGCAATGTCAGCATCTTTGGATTTTTTTCTCTTTTTAAAAAGCTCAATTTTTGGTTAAAAACCTTCAGTCTACTAAGATCACCCAAAAAAATGATTAATTGCGCAGCCCTATTTGTTAGGGCATCATAGGCATCATAAGACCCCTTTTATTAATCTGCTGTGCCTCGGTAAAATCGCACACTCAAGTTTCAACAAGCTCCTATATTTGGCAGTGGATTAGTTTAGATTGATAATAACAGACTGCATGTGATGGGGACTAAGTTAAGTTTTTAAATAATATTGATGATCTCAAACAAAACTGACTCATGTAGATGGACGTAATAAATTTCTTTAGATCAGGCCGAGACAGGGAAGAAGTTCAAAGTGATGAGGGTAAGGGATATAAGACCTGGCTAACAAGCTAACATTGGTTTAGCTAGCTAGTATGTAATCAGGCATGGATGTTGAACATGAAGTAAAGTTGTTTCAGTTTCAGTAGCAGCAGTATGGCAGTGGTATGGTGGGCAAAGCAAGGGAAGTTTACATAGCACAATGGATAGCACATTGCAGTTAGCAATTGTACAATTTGAGTAAAGGGGGGCCTGTGCCCCAGTAGAGCTTTATGTCTAGAAACGCCCCTGCTTCCAATAGAGATAAATATGTAAGACAAACTTTAAACTTGACAAATTTCTCTGCTTGCTTAGATTAGAGAGGTTAAATTGCCTGTAAGTAAGAATGAGAGAAGGTCTATGTGTCTCGACATGCTCGGATAAGCTCTAGCTCCCCTGACCTTAATAGGATTAAGCCGTTAAAGACAATTACAGTAGTAATAAAGTTCATTTTCATAGCAGCGATCCCAACACAGCATTTAGAAGGTGCTTGCATGCTGTTGCAGCTATGTAAACTGTGTTGGCTTTAGGACAGAAAATACTGCTGATTCCTCTATTACTGTATATTGTTTCTTGTTTATGAGACAGAGGTCATTGGGTTTAACCATCAGAGCGTGTTTTGCACTCCTGTCTCCTTTGTCTCTTTTCTCTCACATTCACATTTCATCCTCCTTCTGTTTCTGGGCCCCCGACCAGTGGTTGTCAGAGGGGCGGAGAGAGACGGTGAGAGCAAGTGGAAGACTTCCCAAAATGGAAGCTGACAGACTCCCTTTATAATGAGCATCAGCAAAGCAAGAAGCCAACAGACCAATGTGCTCTACGAGATGAGTTCTGATGTGCACTGGAAAATTTTATCTGAGCAGAAGGCACAACACAGAGTATGAAAGAGGCCTGGACATTTTCAGTCAATTGTCTTTGAAGCCAAAGAAGAATGAATAAGTCAGAACTCACCAGAATCATTTTGACATCCGCATTAGGACATTTACAAGTTGTCAAAAATGAAAAGACATCTTGTCCAGGCATGAGAGTTGTAATGACACCTTTACTCTTAAAACTCTTCAGGGTTGTTTCAGGTTACCCATAGATAAAACAGTCTTTTCAGAATCAAGTTCTCTTTCTGTGTATTAGCTCAGTCCTGTCCAACTATTCACTCACTGGCCAATTCTCACATACCTAAGATACTTCCTGACACTCTCTCCATCTCTAATGGCTATTAGTCACATGCATGCAGATAAAGTAGCCCAGGCAAACTTCCTGTCAACAGCAGTTAAACACTCTAGCGGCACCTAAACATAATCCTCCACCAGCACATAAACATCCTATTTTCATCCTTTAAAGGATCTTTGTCAGCTCTTCAGTATATGTTGGAAAGCTGGAAAACATCATGACCACAACATAAGGGCCTTGAATAAATACTGCTGCTCTTTTTTCTACATGTCCCTCTGTGGACAATGAGTACCATGATGCGCTACCCTTTTACAGCAGAACCTGCATTTGTCATGTGTACACCACTTCTGTGATTCAGTGAAAGCAGATCTGTTTTATTGTCCAGGGAAAACTCAAGGTCTTTTGTCAAGCATTTGAGAGGGCACTGAGGGCAGGCCCCTGAGAGACACCTAAAATACCCTCCCGTTCCCCCCAAGCAGGACAGGACTTATCTTCAGTGCGAGACTGTTCCTCAGTTTTTGTCTGAAAGGAAATCTTTCCCATCTACTTTTCTTTCAGTGGCCGTGAAAGCCCCTGCATACCTTCACCCTGACTCTGCTGAACAGCCTTGTTGGCCACACTCACGCCTGTCAGCGCCTCTGATTCACAAACACCGGGGGGACTGTAATTTGGTTCCACCTAAAACCTTTCAATGATGTTTAGGAGGTCATAAAACTGCAGTATAAAGGTGCTGTCTGCACTCCCTCTTTCATTCAGTTTCTGCTTGTTTTCCCCTTGCGTTCCTTCTGACTGTTGTTGACAGGAAACTGCCACACATGACTGACAAGCAGAGGAGAAGGAATGTTTCACTGCATTTGTGTCA